CAACAAGGCCCATCTCTTGGCTGGGGCATTTGGTTGCAAGATTGAATCCTTGCCCTTCACCTACCTAGGGTTACCTTTGGGTACCACAAAGCCCAGGGTTGATCATTTTGAACCTCTTATGAGTAAAACTGAAAGAAAACTCACTGCCACTTCAAACTTCTTGACTCACGCTGGAAGACTTCAACTAGTCAACTCGGTCCTGTCTTCCCTCCCCACCTTTGCCATGTGTACCCTACAAGTCCCAGCCACTGTCCTAGACTACATAGATAGAGCAAGGAGACATTGTCTTTGGAGAGGGTCCGATAGCAATGCCAAAATGAAACCCCTTGTGGCTTGGAAGAAATGTGCAAAGCCCAAGAGAAAAGGAGGCCTTGGAATTATTAATCTCAGGAGTCAGAACAAGGCCCTTCTATTGAAGCATTTGGACAAGTTCTACAATAAAAAAGAAATTCCATGGGTCAAACTTATTTGGAATGCCCATTACCCCAATGGTCAAGTTTCTCATGCAACAACTGATAGAGGCTCCTTTTGGTGGAGGGATATCCAAAAACTTTGTGATTTATTTAGAGGAATTGTTGAATGTAAAATTGGAGATGACTCTCTGTCCTCTTTTTGGTCCGATCACCGGAATGACAACATCCTAAAACTAAATACCCACGACTATTTCCCTTCGCAAAGAATAAGAATATCACAGTTGCACGATTACATCAAAACAACTTCACGGAGACCCGCCATCTTCCTATCTCGTAACAAGCATATCAAGAGTTTCAAAGCATTCAAGATTATATTCAAACAATTCAAGTTCATCACAATACAAAAGATTCTTGGCAATACATTTGGGGAAACAAGACTTACTCTTCCTCAAAGTTCTACAATCTCCCTTACAAGAACGTCCAACCTCCTGCTCCGTTCATCTAGGTTTGGGATTCCAGATGTTCCAATAAGCTCAGGGTCTTCTCCTGGCTTCTTTTAATGGATAGGCTCAACACAAGGAACATCCTCAAAAGAAAAAAGCACAAGCTAGAAGGAAATAACTACCATTGCATACTCTGCAGCAACAACTTGGAGGAAACTACCTTTCACCTCTTTTTTCAAATTGTCCTTTTAGCCAAGCTTGTTGGCGTGTACCTTGGCATCCATTGGGATTTCTCCATGGACTTCTTTCATATCTTGATTCAAGCTAAGCAACAATTTCAGAGCCCTTTCTTCATGGAGATCTTCATCATTGGAGCTTGGTAAATCTGGAAGCAGAGGAACAATTTCATCTTTGATCGTGGTCGCCCTTCCTTTAGCTCCTGGAAGCAAAGTTTTTTTATGAAGCTAATTTACAGGATCTTAGACTCTGTGACTCTAAAAGAGCGATTTTCTTATTCATTTTAGCAGTCCTAGTCTAGTGTTGTTGGCTCTCTCCCTTTTTCAGTTGTGGGGTTGTCATTCTTCTCTGCTCCACCTCGGACCCCTCTTCTTTCCTTCTGCTCTTGTACAGTTCTTCTCCTTGTTTCTCGAGCAGTTTGTTGGGCTCCGCTTTATTTTAAATAAAACTTTCTTGTGGGGGCCTCCCATGCATATTTTAGGTTCAAAAAGGAGGTGGGGAGAAGATGGTGAGATCCTCGTCGCCGGTGGTGAACGTGTACCCAAAATATGACGCGTATTTTATTGCTTCTATTAGCATTTTTTAAATGTGAACTGGGGTGTAATGCTATTTTCACGTATTAGTTTTTCACATGTATGCAAAGTTACAATGTATTTGTTATGTTTACCTGTTGGAACTATCTGATTTGCTTCTATTTTAAAGGTTAAACTATCAGAGAAGACAAGTCTTCTTGAGGAAACTGAAAAAAGGATTGAACTAACTTCTAAGGTTGAAGAGGGCAGCAAAAGCTGAAGGTTGGTTTGCATGTTCCTGTGATAATTCACCTAATACCAGTTAATCCTGGCTTCCTACAATTATTCATAAAATCTGTAATGGGTGTATGTCTTGTGCATTTAGCATGCATGAGACATCAACGCTGAATCTGAATACTGTCACTGTTGTTATAACTACATAAATCCGTGTTTCAGAATTCGGATGTTAGAAACCAAAAGACTGCTATATTATTGCTCTACTTTTCAGAAGTACATAGAACTGATATTCTTCATCATCTAGGCGGGGCTACAGTTCACCTGATAGGAAAGGAGGAGGCCGAGGGCAGCAGTCGGTTCGGCAGTCTACGCGCTGCAGACAAGCCAATTGGTCCCCGTTACCTCCGTTATCTTCACTAGTTAGCACCAACATGTAACTCTGCTTAGTAGAAGAAGAGCTCAGCATAGAACACAACATAAACAAATACAGTAGACTGAACTAACTCCTTTTATAGGGTCAATTGGAGTGAAGCTCATACATTACTGTTGTATGAATATTGTGTGGAGGAGATAGAATCTTCCAGTTTGAAAGAACTATCTAAAGACTCTTACGAGATAATAACACAAAAGTTGTGCGATAAAGGAGCAAATCATAATATTAAGAGTGTAAAGGAAAAGGTCAGAGGTACCAAAAAAATTGTATACTTTTTGGAAAGAAAAATTGATGAATCCACTTGTTGTCAAAGACGAGAAGTGGTGGGCCAAACAGGTAATTTTACTTTTGTTTAAATCTTTACGAACAAACATCTAATATTTATTTGAATATTTCTATATGGAGTAACTTAAATTAAAGTTGGTTAATATAAATAAGACTAATTTTATTTATTTTGCAGGGTCGCCAATACCAAAAGCTCAGATATGGACCACCTAAACATCTGAATTTGATTGAAAGAATATTTGTGCCATGTGAAAAGGTAAAAAATCCTTCTACTCTATCCATCTCATGGTATATAGGTTTTGCTACAATACGGCCTCCCCACAGAAAACATCCTCCTAACCCTCAGAGCCCACATCTTAACCCACTCATGATCCTCCCCTGCTTCTCGCGATCCTCCTCCTCCTTCATGTTCCCAAGCTTCCCACCAAACGTGGAATATATGCGTAATACAACTTCTATAGTAAATAATTGTAAAAGCTAAGATATATATATATATATATATTTATATATATATATAATAGTTGTCTACTATTTGTCTATAATTTGTTTATTAATATATGTAACTTTTCAACCATGCCCCATGTTTTTACTCTCTTTTCCTTCCTTCTCTCTTACACATCAAGAAAATATTGACTAGCTTGGCTACAAGACCATTGTTAGGCTTAGCTCTTATAGTGGCATGATCCCTATTAGTTGAAGTGCACCCCTATTTATAGCGTTATCACATGGCACATTACATACTATTCTGAAAAAATATCTATACTCTACAAATTTCTTCATTCTTATCTAGTTTTCTAGATATTTTCTGCCATGCAAAAATATCTAGCTCTATAGTTTTTGCCATGCAAAAATATCTAGCTCTAGGGTATTCCATACCTTCACCATCAAGCATGGTTAGTATCTTCTTCTTTTGCCATGAAGATAACTCTAGAGGAGACTCTCGTCCAATCTATCAAAATGCTCTTCGACCTATACAGATGCATCCAACTAGAGGAGACAATGCAACCTCTAGTGCCCTAGCCACTCGGAGCCCCATCGTGGGGTCCAACTAGTTGGCCAAGGGGTCAAGCACAGATGTTGAATACCCACGACTATTCTCCTTCGCAAACTTTCTCGCATCTCAAGAACGCCGACATATTTGCTTGGTCTCCTTAGTAAATGACCGGAGTCAGCAGAGACCTCGCGGAGCATAAGCTCAATATCATCTGTTTAAGTGAGTCTATATATCTAAGCTACAAGTAAATTTGTTTCACATAGCATCTCTAAGTAGCAAAATCTTGAGCACTATTAACTGCATCAAGTTTGCTCATGCTTGGGATTGCCCATATTAATGCTTGTTTTCCATGATGCAACAGCTTCACTTATCCCAACACGTTTAATTGTTGTGAATGCTTATGCAATTGTTGACAACTAAAGTGGCTCAAATGCACAATGGACTCCGCCATCGTGTTTCTATCATCAAGAGAGTCAGAAAATATATTTGGATCATCCCATTTGAAGCCCGGACGAAGAAATGGCGTTTTGGGGTGCTGACCCTGCTGGAACTGGCCTGGCAGGTTCCCAGCCCGGTTTGGTCAAGTTTCTCAAATGCAAGATTAGATTGCACCATTGCATTCCTCTCGTTGAGCTGGTCGAAAAACATATATGTTTCGCCTCATTTGAAGTCCTGATGAACTAATTACAATTTTTGGAAGATTTTCTGCACCGGACTGCAGCAGAACCGGCCATGGTAGTTTGGGAACCGGACAGGCCGGTTTGCATGCCCCCTGTGGTTGACCAGGCCCCGTGAAAACCGGCCTCGCCGGTCAAACCGGCTAGGCCGGTTCGCCTGTACAAGTCCAACCTAAACACTATTTTGGTCGGGATTTGACATATTTTCGCTTAGGAAACTTGGAGATCACGATCTGGAGTTTTCTCCTATTGGGATAAGACCACCCCCTCTATATATATGAGACGATCGCGATCTATTGAGGGATCCAGCACCCAATCGTCAAAAAACACATCTACTACCTCTCTTTACCTTCTTTTCCCATCTATCTCTTCTCCTCATTCTTCGTCGGTGCTGCATGACTGGAGGGTCTCCAACACAAATTGAAAAAGGAGGGAAACAAAAGGGCAAACAAGTCGCCAAACAGAAAGAACAAGTGGCAAGCACAGCTCCCATCACAATTCACAATAGCAACTATACCACCTTTACTTTAGTTTCACACTTTGGGCAAGAACGAATGATCAGGCTCATGCCATTCATTCTTCAGATACGAGAGCAAAGGAAAGGGCATGGCATGAAGCATGCATCCTGTTCGCTTGCTCGTATACGATCGTGGATTATAAGCTGGAACAGTATTTTTCTCTCACACCAAACCAGCCAGCAGTAAATAATCCACGATCGTTTACGACAAAACGAATAGGCTGATGATACATACGTCTGGCACCAGTACCACTAAACACAACTCCGCTGCCCTAGGATGCACAGCTTCCTCAATTCACAGGATGGTACAGCAAGAGTTGGTTTTCTTGCCTGCTTGTAGAACATCTGCATACAAGTTAGGGGAATGTCAGCACGAACATATCATAAACAAGCCACGGACTGGCTAACCAGTTAGCCTAATGTTGCTGGACTCACACACGACTGCTATCATTTTTCTAGGAAGTTCTCCAGGCAAACAATGGAACAGCTATGACACGTCAATGAAAGCAACAATTGTTACTATAAATGATTCTACAAGTGTAGATTTTGCATCCAGCCTTTTCTTTCTAAGACACAAGGGGGTAGACCAAGAAATTTGGTCCTATATATGGTCAAATTTACAAGGAAAATTTTATCAGTGACACTGAAAGGTGCAGGTTAACAATTTTGCCCCACCCCTCCTGTGTCTAGGCCAAAACCTTTATCCCATGGGGCAACCGAAGCATAGCATCGGTCCCAGGTGCCTTTTTCCAGCACCGCGCTTATGTCCCCCCCTCAGATCAATCGTAGCAGGGGCACACCGCCCTCAGTTCCTTCAGCCCATCCTCCTCTGCCCCTTCTAGATCTTCATTTGCTGGCCACACCATAGAAGGGAGGTGCAGAGCTTTGGCTCCAGTTACCTGGTCCGCGGTGTTGATCTGGAGCAGGGGCAGCCGGATATGGTGTGTTGTGGCAGCTTTGGAGGAACAGCGACACATAGTGGTGAGAGGAGCAGGCACATAGTGGTGAGAGGAGCAGAGCTGCGTCTCCCCTGCCCCTCTGCTCAACTCGTTTTGACTAAACGGGCTTCCTCAAGTGATAGTATCAACCCCAAACCCAGGGCAAATATAAAGGGCGTACCCAATGCAGAGAGCTCTCGCTCTATGCGGGGTCTGGGGAAGGGTGTCAGTGGCAAGTCTTACCCTCACCTGTGCAACGCGAGGAGACCACGACTCGAACCCGGGACCTTCCGGTCACAGGCGGTAAAACTCTACCGCTTACACCAGGCCCGTCCTTCAAACCCAAGGCAAATATGGCCCCAAAAATTGTAGAAAGAAAAATGGGAATAATAAAAAAACACAACAGAAGTGTACTGAGTGGTCAAAATCTGAACTATGGCATCTTTTGGTGGTATCAATGTTTAAGGCTGCTTCAGTGGAGTTTTCCTAAAACTGGCACCTTGTGGTGTCATAGATCCAATTTTTCAAATTTCAATTGTGAAGATTCACACATATTCAGATGCTTAACTTAGACACTACACAACTTCAGAAGTTGCCTTTCAATCAGTATTTTACACAAGGGGTTGCAACTGGACAGATTTTGACCAATTGCCGATAGGCCATAACTTGTATGTCTTTGGACAACATACAACATCAACATAACCTTTTAGTCCCAAGCAAGTTAGGGTAGGATAGAGTTGAAACCCACCAAGAACCCTAAGTCACGATTCAGGCACTTCAATAGTTGTTTTCCAAGCACTCCTATTCAAACATAGATCTCTAGGTATATCCTAAGCTTTTAAATATCTTTTTATTGCCTCCCCCCATATCAATTTCGGTCTTCCTCTACCTATCCTCATATTATTAGCTTGGCTTAGGACTGCACAATGCACTGGTGCCTCTAGAGGTCTCCTTTGGACATGGCCAAACCACCTCAACCGATGTTGGACAAGCTTTTCTTCAACTGGTGCTACCCCTAGGCGATCACGTATATCATCGTTCAGAACTCGGTCCATTCTTGTGTGACCACAAATCCATCGCAACATACGTATTTCTGCAACACTCAGTTGTTGAACATGTCGAATCTTTGTACAACGTAATACACAGCAAAAATATCCCTACCTGTGAAGAAATACTTAGATCAGAACTCTTCTCCACTAGGCTATCCAACCTTTCACCTCTGGCAAGCACACTATCGATGGTTTTATGCTGCAAATATCAAAATCAAGAACATGAATTAAAATTTGCGAAAGAAGAAAGTAGCCTTGACTAGCCTTAACCTCAGCAATAACTCATGACATCTTCACCAGCCTAGCTCAAAAGGCAGGTGATTGAAAGAGTATTCAAGCACTTGTGCAGGGACTTGGTCAAAGTGCCAGCAAACAATAAAGAATCCAGATATTGCGCTATTCCACAAGAAAATGTAATAGAATTACTGAGCATACAGTTGACGGGGCACACTTACTCCACACATTCTGTCAGCTACTAGTTTTCAACAGCAAGCAGAAGCAGAGCATCGAACTCTATGGGCAAACAGTAAAGAATGAACCATAAAGAAAGAAAATAAGAAAAACACTAGTGTTCTAAACACATTCTAGCACCAGTTCAGCAATGTAATAACATCCTGCTCCTTTGCTCCGAACCCAAGCAGGGTAAAAGAAAACTCCCCCTGACGTAATTTTAGCATTGCCTAACATATATGGACTTGTGTATGGTGCAGATGAAAATAACTCCATTTAGAATTTGACAAGCTACTTAGTCATGTTCCCGAGGGTTCAACAAACATGAACTTACTTACCAGAATAATCTTGGTTTCATCCAAGTCCCTCTGAATTTTCAACAACTTGTCAGCCTCTGCAGGATCCTGCAAAGAAAATAATCGGAAGACAAATAAATCATTGACAAATCAAGCTTTATTTAGTCAGTGAACAATGATGTGTTCAACAAGGGGGAAAAACAGTACATGCATAAAGTTCCAGATTTGGACAGACGCCTAATTAAAGTACAACAACTGTTTCGTTGCGTACAAGAATCAGATTCCTGGACAAGCTACATTTTCAAGACAAAACTGCGTGAGCATGGCAAGTGATATGTACGGGATGAAGAGCGTGCGCGAGTCAGCGTGCTCAGACAGACAGCAGAGCTTCATGTTTTTCTCTTCCAAATATTTAGTCTCCGCCCCTAGATAAAAACATCACATATGTGGTGTATGGGTCCAAACGAACCAAACCTGGTATTTGGTTAGGGCATCATCCAAGTATTGCCAAGGTTGGGTCACATCAGTTTTGGTTGTCCTCCATGACTCTCCAAAAGTCTTCTGGTACTCTTCCAGCACCTGTAGAAGACATCAGACATGGATAGCCTTTGTGAGACTGATGTGTCATCATCCTATTCATATATGACAATCGCAAGGGAGGTCATGCATTATCGGTTTATCAACACCAGTGCAGCAAAAATACAGCACAAAGGGGTGACATTACATTACAACAATCAAAAGTATGATGACAACAGTATATGGTTGGGAAGTAATGATAGACATATCAGAGAGGAAAGCCAATTGGCAGCTATGTGGTTATTAGCTTCAGAAATATAGATGATGAGGCCTAACTGATCAGTGATTAAATCGTCAGTAATACGGCAATTGCAAGCGGTCTAGGCTCGTTGCCCATTAGATAAGCAGGGAAATAAAGCATAAGCACAGCATGACTAGATTGAGTTGGAAGTAACCACCACGTAACATAACATAATAGGGGAGTTGACGGAGATAGGATTAGGATGGGACAAGAGCAGAGAGAAGCGGTAGCGTACGATGTTGAGGAGGGAGAAGGCGCTCCTGACGGGATAGTGGGCGTCGGTGAAGGCGATGGCGCAGAGGCCATTCTGGTTGTAGCAATGCACCATGTACTCTGCAGGGGATCAGCAATCGAGGTCGGATCAGCGCAGTAGAGGAGGCGGGGAAGAAGGAAGAAAACGAGGGGGAGGCAGGCGTGAGGCGTGACGTGCCTTCGTGCTGGACGTTCTGCCGGCTGCCGGCGGGGGTGCGGAGGGCGACGGTGCGGGCGACGAAGAGGATGAACTCGCGGGCAGCGGCGCGCTGGAAGTAGCCGAAGTGGCTGACGTCCGACGCGTTGGCCAGCACCACGGCCTGCTGCTGCTCGCCGCCGGAGGCGGAGGAATCGCCAGGGGATTTGAGCACCAGGAGCGTCGTGATCTTCATCGCGGGTTCCGGCCGCGGGGGTTGGGTTGGGTCGGGGCGGCGGAGGAAGAGGAAGGGAGGCGAATTGGGTGCCGGCTGCGGGGGAGCAGCGAATTCTGAAGGGAACACGGTGCGGTGCGAATACAACAGCGATGCGTTTTGACGTGGCTTTCTTTGTGGGGAAGGAAGGAAGGAAGAAGCGGCAGTGGACTCCAGAGGTTGCCGACGTGTAGTAGTAAACAAGATTTGATCATTTGGAAACTTTTTCTACAATCGCTTAATTATTTATTTTTTGGTTAATTGTCATTAAAGAAACGCCACTATAAATTCATACGTTCTTTTTTTTATACGATAGTTCTATGGTCTGTGGTGATCTAGTGACCCCTTTGACAACTACTTCTGCACCTGGCATGTTCTACATTTTCTCATGTTTCTGCAATCAACACAGCAAGCTGACAACAACCACCAAGGAAAAAGGGCAATGATTTTTATAAGAGAAAATCAGCTATCAGCCTGTTCGGCAGCCCGTATCTAGCTTATAAGCCTTGGCTTATCAGCCAACGAACAATATTTTTCTCTCACACCAAACCAGTCAGCAGTACTTTCAGCCATGACTTATAAGCCAATCCAGCCAAAACGAACAGTCTGTATAACGGTTTACTAATGAGATCGAGCCAAGCATATAAGTTCAACTAGAGTAATATAACAATATAGTAGGGCAATAATAACTAGAGCATGAAAGGGGACTCCCTCGCGCCACCGCCACTAGGGCAATGCCACTCCGCCCCCACCTAAGCAGTGATCACAATGTTAACATCTTGTTATCTAATTAACACATATTGTTTGGTAAATAATCATCTTAGTTCTCGGTAGTGAGAGTCTGTAGTGTCCAGAAACGCCACCAATCCACTTGTCTCTATATATATGACATAAACCTCGGCCTTGTTTGGCTGCACTTCAGTCCACCACAATACATGTGGATTGGAGTGGTTGGAGTGCAACCAAACAAGACGCGTGCAAAAGATCAATTTAATTGTGTGCTTGAGATTTACATGTTGTCTTTTGAATATGAGGCAGAAAGAGTATCTCCAAGAGATTCTTTATATTGTTCCTAGTTTACAGAAATAGAGGTTTTGGTGAAAAAATATCCTCTAATAGCCTCTTCAATTGGATATCTAAATATAGATATCCTCTATTCCGAATTTCTTGCTAGCCAAAGAATGACTCTCTAGATTATGCAAAGCTGTTGGAGAGTACAAAGATATAGAAAATGATTTTCACTCAAATGACTCTCTAAATGATGATTTGGAGAGTAAATTTTAGAAAGGCTCTTAGAGATGCTCTAAACCACCAACGCCATACATACTCTATGCTAAAAAAGGAACCCCAAGTTTTTCGTTGAGTTGTTAGTTAAAACGTTTGAATGGAAAACTGAAGTATAAACATGAGATTCTCTAATAAATGTCAATTATTATGGTTTGTTGAGGTTGATGTAAAACCAATATATAGTAATAAATATCACATCTAAAAGAAATTTTAGTGATAAATATCATATTCATCTGATTTGATATGATGTATAATATTATTATGCGTAAAACTAAATCAGATTTGCCCCCTGAACTTGTCGATAATAAATTTAGAACAAAAACCCTCATCGAATTGAAATACCAGAATTTATTGATTGGTTGAGCTTGTCGTTATATAATATTCAGATATCTATTGTATAGTATTAGCGATAGAAGATATATCATTCTTAATTATCAAAACATTTAGGATAGATACACTCAATCAAAGATTTAAGCAAGAACCGGAGAATCTACGCTTATACTACATGTCTTTCTATATAAGCATAGAAGAGAAAGGAAGAACAACGGACGATGTTGTTCTGTTAGTGTTGTTCTTCTCCTAATAGAATATAATGGCACTCGTCAAGACCAGCACAACAAGGGCGGCTGTGTGTGATGCCTTTGTTTGCTTTATTATTGTTGTTCTTGTGCCCATGCTGCCATGTTCCCTCTCCAACCAACCTCCGAGAAAGTTCGCATCCAATACTTGTGTACTCCCTCCATCTCAAATTATAAATCAATCAAACTTTTTTTAGAGAGTCCAAGCATCTCAGGTAGTTTGACCAAATTTATATAATAAAAAATATTATTTATGATATCAAATAAGTATTATTAGATTCTTTATTAATAATTATTTTTATAGTATATCTATTTGATGCCATAAATCTTTATAATTCTCTATATAATTTTGGTCAAACTTAAGATGTTTTGACTCTCCAAAGATTTAGAATGACCTATAAATTGGAATAGAGAGAGTACCAAACAATATAATATGGTCTGATGTGACACGTGAATGAATTATTCATCATGCATGGTTCCATCTTCATGATACGATGGAATAATTGCTTGGATGAATGCAGATGAGGCAGACGAGACGATCTGCAGCCCCGTGGTGAATGGGCAGTGCGATATCGCGCGGTGCTCCATAGAATGCATGGAGGAGGCCAAGAAGCATACGAGGAGTACTTCGTGCGTGCATGCCTCCCTCCCTCCTGCGACAGGCGTGTCCGTCCTCAGCAGTGCTGCTGGACGTTTCGCCGCCGCCGTCACGTCGTGCTCCTCACCGGAGACGACGTCGTCGTCGTCGTTGGAGCCCCTGTCCATCCCGGGACTCGTCGATCGGGCGGGCGGTGGTGGTGCGTGTTTGTTCGTCGCCGACTGGACCAGGAGCCCGGGATCGGGGAATCCACCGACCGGTCTCCCCCGGTACAATCCATTGTGGACCCAAGATGCGCACGTTGCTGACCTGGGCCGGCGAGTCCCCGGCCCGCTCGTGCAGGTGGATGGATTGGAGCCGTTGGGGCAGGCGACGTGGCACGGGCCCAATCCATCCAATCCTATACCACAGCTTAGCGCTAGCTTCAGCCTTCATCTACAAGGAGGCTACAGCGACCGATACGCATAGGGCACGCGACCAAGTGATGAGCACAGACCGTTCAAAAAACAAAAAAAAGGTGATTAGCACAGATATACCACTTTCTTGTCGTCTTCGGTCCAACTGCAGTTCAGGGTCCTATGTACATACAAGGATAGTACGTGCCATGATACTTCCTTTATCTACTACTCCGTAGGAGATAATACTTCAAACAAATCTGGATCATTAATTTTTAAAATTGTAAATTAATTAATTAATTAGCCTAGGAAAAGAAAATAAAAACATTCTCAAATCCAGTCATCATGTTTGTTGCTGCCGCACTGCCGCATCCTTCTTTTTGCTATATTTTACCATATATTTATGTACAGTTTTATCTATTCACAGGATAATTACTTTATATATAATACACAACATTTATGTTGTATCTAACTTTTATGCCTTGGTGTCAATTCAAAGCTAGTTTTATTCTTCTCCCAACTCTATGGACGATATGTTACATATATAATACAACTACTATCACTCCGATGTTACGATGAACCTGTTACAAGTATACCAGTCATGATAGGGTACCATAAAAACTTTTTAGCGAGATCATCATGTATAAAGTGTGACGCTAATGTACATATTTTTATCTTGAAAGTTGTCAAAAAGTTTTTATGATATCCAGTCACGTCAAAGTTGTGCACCGATCACGCTCCATACTCTGTTAATTAAAAAAAACATGTTATATCCATGAAAAAGATCAACAGCTGACAATAGCTAACACACCAATTGAGCTGTAAACTTTGACGATCTAAAATGTGCTAATCAAATCATAGCCTTTCTCATGCATAAAAAATCAACTGTTTAATTTTTGCTAATCAAATCATGCCATGTCTAAAGTTGTACATAAAAAGATCTATGACATCCAATAGATCACAGATGCATCAATTAGATCTAGTAGGAAACAGATTTTTATACCTAAAACTTTCCTTATTTATCATATTTTACAAAATAAAAGACTAGGCATTTTTCCTACTCTCCGATAACCACATTGCATATGTGTGCATACTTATTTATCAGTTTGAGTATGCTTATGTACTCATTTTAATATACTCCAAATATTACTATGTGATTTTTTTTCCAAAAGAACCCATATTTTTAATATATTATTATAATACCATTATAGTAGTATATAAAATAAGTATAATCGTATACTCTAAGGTCGTTGAGGAGATGCACGCCTGAGGTTGTTCTTAGGTCGGCAAGGCCACCTAGAACACCGATGAATCTCGTGGAGAGATGCAACGAATAGCAGGAGGTTGGGAAAAGGGCAAAACTTGGGTAATAGATGTAGAAAAAGGCGATTGATTGTTGGATCCTTCAACCTCCGTTCCTTAATATAAGCTATATAGATTTCTAAAAAAAATTCTAAAATATAGGTACGTATCAGCTCCCACGCCGATTAGTTTGGAAACCTTCCCACCGTACATAGTACATGCCCCAACCAATCTCTTAGATTTAGGAATCTTTTTTTTAACAGAACGATCAATACCTATCGTTTTTTCTCTGTACATCGAGTCTGGCACGTGTATCTCCGTAGCTTTTTTTTTCTCTCCCTCTTTCACGCCAGACTCCATGGACAACGTACTGCAACTCATCTTCCATGCCAAGGAGAAGACAAAGCAAGCGATCTCGCTTCCAATGGACAAGGACACGAAGACGGCGACCTCACTTCCCATGCTGAAGGAGGAGATCAAGCTAGTTTAAAAAATGTAGTGCAAATCAACCCAGGATGCAAGATGAATTTAAGCAACGTGTGAGTACAGCATGCAAGATGAATTTAAGGAACAAGATGCAAGATTACCAGTGGCTTCTCCGTTCTGCCTTCCTTCCTCATTGGCGCTTCCCTCGGGTTCAACTTCTACATGCTCGTCGGTGTCGCTAAGTCCACTGCCTCCAATCGCACCTAAAATAACAATTTCAATTACGAATGAGTAAACCGTAAACATGGTCAGATTGCTACTCCTAGTCGTATACATGGTCAGGTTACAAAGGATACATGGATACATGGACCATAAACAAGCACATGCAGACATCTAATCGTACCCATGATCTGAACAAAACATGCATCAACTCGAGTTGCAGATTACCTTGAATAGGAAGATGAGGAGGCCATCGTGTCACAGGTGCACGCCCACGGATGCGACCTGTTAGTCCCAAAGCAGCTCGCCCACGTAATCAGTAGTGCGCTCCCCCGCTGGTGCCCACGCCATGAGCGCCCGACCATGGCGCTTGTTGACGATGGACCGCACCGGTGCGCAAGACCATGGCGACCACCGAGCAGCGGGCCACCGAGTCCTTCGCGGACGTCAAGGACATGGCCGTGTCCGTGACGTGCTTGTCCCGCGTCGCCGTGACCACCTAGTCCGGCGTGGCCGTCCCCTTCTTCTCCACCGTTGCCATACGACTCTGTAACTTCTACCTCTGTCAAGATAGCAAATCCGAATTATGCACAGATCGCGAAACGAATGAAGAATCGATTGCAGAAATGATGAATCAAAGTGGGAAAACCTGGTTCAAGCCACTCGTAGTCGTAGTTCAACTCGGCAGCATCCTCCTCCGCCTCGTCGCCGAGGGCATCCCAGTTGATCCACTCGGAGCGGCGACCAGCCATTAGAGATGTCGAGCTCGAGCGGGAGACTGGTGAGATAGCGATGGGGAGGGGGGAAATTTATAGCTCCAGGGTCGCTGTTTACAAAACGAAAATTTCTGATCATTGGCGCCATTGTGATTCCCTCCTCTGCTGGAATTTTTGGATGAGCAAAAAAAATTCCATCGCTTTTCAACTTGCCGAGGCTTTTCCCTCTGCATGCCGCGCGGGAGAGAGAGAGAGGAAAATAACGCGTGTCGTCGCTCGCGGGAAACGTAGGCGGTGGGTCCAGCGAGGAAGAGGGGAAACCGATCGGGGGAGAGAGAGGATTGTGGGTTTTGTTACAGTTTGTTAGGAAGCAATCTGATTGGGAGAGAGAAGATGGCCTGATTTTCCTTTTTTTCCTCGGTCTCACATCCTTCCCCAAGCCGTGCCTTAATATTGGTGCTAAAAACTATATGGCTTATATATAGAGGGGGCTAGTCTTATCCCGGTAGAAAATAAGTCCAGACCTTGATCTCCATGTTTCCTAGGCCAAAACAATCGAGTCCAAAAACCGATTTGGTAAGTAACGAACTTGAATAGGGGAAATCGCCCTGGCGGGGTCCCAAACGGGCCGGGCCGTTTTTGTGAAGACGTCCAGAAACCAGGGTGCCGACCTTGACGCACCTGACCCTGTACATCCTGGCCGCCCTCCCTGAAGACGGAGTAGTGCGAGACCGCGGCCCGTCGGGGAACACCTCCCGGCCGACGAGCAGGCCGTGCAGGTTGCCCTCGGTGCCGCAGCTGGTGACGTAGCCCTAGTAGTCGCCGGGGCCGAGGTCCCAGATGCGGGTGAACCAGTCCAGCACCGCCACCTCCAGCGGCCGCGAGTGCACGCCGTAGTTGCTCTCCACGAAGGGGTCGCCCAGGTTGTTGATGCACAGGCCCTCCAGGAACGGCGCCAGCGGGGCGAAGTCGAAGTCCAGGTTGTACGGGTACCCGTACCCCAGGTGGTGCGCCGACCGGTCCTCGAGGTGCCGCCGGAACCCGGCCAGGAGCCGGGCCACCTCCGCCTGCCGCTCCGCCAAGGCATCCTCGTCAGTCGGTGGCTCCTCCACCGTGCCGCGAACGCCTCGGCCGCTGGCGGCGCCGTCACGGCCCCACCGTCCCGCTCGTCGTCGTCTCCCGCCTGCGGCACGCGTCAATGGTGAGCAGCGGCAGCCGTGTCATCAGCGAGCTGCAGGTCCCTGGCCGTCGTCGTCGTCAGCTCTGCTACCACCGGCGCCATTATTGCTCCTCCGATCCTGCAGAGACGCAATAGCTGGCAGTACTGTCACTCCAATCCCTCTACCGGACGTCGTCTTCTCCAACTGCGGCGTACGTACGTGCTACCTCTAGCTAGTATGTCTGAAATGAGCTATGTATGGGCATCGTCATTGTGTATTTATAGACGACACTGTTTTATATGCGTCACCAATAGACTTCAGTGGACATTATTAATTGGCAATGTCGTGGCATCATGCATACTCTAATACTTTTTTTTTCCAAACGTACCACATGTACGGATTTCATTAAGCAAAGCAGAATTTTTTTTGTTACAAAAAGGACTGGCCGGTAATCCTAGAATTACTAGCGCAATCCCACAAGCACAAACGATACAGCAAGAAAGCACGGGGGTGGGCCTCCACCACCAAACCCTTGCAGACTGAGCCTATTACAGGAAGACAAACACATTGGTAGACTAAGTTGTAGTATAGCCGCGATAGCCAGCATCCACCAAGGAAGCCAAAGGAGCCGGCACGACAACAGCGGCAAAGCATCCGCCGAAAAAGGATCATTACGGCAAAGCATTCGTAATGAGGGCCATCACACGCTCCATACGAGAAACGACCACGGCGGCCAAGCATCCGCCGAAAAAGGACCATTACGGCAAAGCATTCGTAATGAGGGCCATCACACGCTCTGCAGCTGACTGAGCGTGGAGACCAAAGCGACGAGGTGGCCAAACATCCACCCAAGCAGCAACAGCGGCAAAGCATCCGCCAATGAACCGAACGACAGCGGCAACAACAAACACCGAAGGACAAACCAATGTGAAGATAGAGTTGAAGCACAGGCACAGCAGAGCCACACACCTAGCACCTAATTGACTATACCTGCAAGGTAAAAATACATCAACACAAGGGTGCCAGCACGAGAGATGAAGCCGCGGTGGCAAAGCATCCACCAAGAAGCGACAAGGCTGCGACGGCAAGTCCGCCCGAGCAGCACGGCGGCAAAGCATCCGCCAGATAGAACGCGACAAAGTATCCGTAAAAGGGGAGCCATCACACCCTCAGCCATGACGGCAAAGCATCCCCATGACGGCAAAGCATCCCCAAGGGGGGCGCCCGAAGCGACAAGGCGGCAAAGCATCCCCCAAACAGCAACGACGGCAAAGCATCCGTCAAAGAACAATCGACGGCAGCAACATAAAGCATACTCTAATACTGATCTATCGTCGGTGAGGAGGTACTAGCATATCCTGAAATTTAGCAAAATAATTCCAGAGAACATGCTCCACGGCAGAACGGAGATCCGATCCGATTGAGGTAGAAGCGTATGATATCTCCAGCCAATCTTCAGAAGACCGAGATCATGATCCGGTTGTTTATATCACAGTTCGTACAAGCTAGCTGGAGCCTGCTATAATCATCACACAGTTCGTACATATACCGATATTTTGAATTGGTATGGTATAGAATAGAGACCAGCGACTTGATTTATCTTTTTCTTGCATTGCATTATCTTTTAAGCTAAGTGACTTCCATTAGCACGACCAAGATAATAAACAATTGATTGTATTTGTATGCAGAAATAAAACTGCACCGGGTGAACCCCCTCAGGTTGTGCAGCTGTTCCATAAAGAAACTTTAGAAGGGCATAAAAAAACTTAAAAATTTTATATGTCATATGTGTTTAAGTGAAAAGAAGCTAGCATGACATTTATATTTATAAGTACTTAATAACAAAGATTTTCTTACATGCCAACCACCAAGAAATTAGGCATTTTCCTTTGCGGCATAGAAAAACTGTCAAGAAAATTGCATCTTTGGGCAGCTTAGAGAACTTTTTAGTTGCACCTCCGAGGAAACAATATACTCCTAACTCCTTGGTGGTTTCATTTATTCACACCTCACGCTCAATAAATTCTGGACGCTAAGAATATTTCATTTTTTTAGTAGTGATTAGGAATCAACAGTTTAGAAAAATCGCTCGATAAATTCCCCAAAATAGGTGCATGTTTTCATAATATGCAATACATGAAATTTGTCATATATTATGGAAGCATTTTTTTCATAATAAACCAATTTTACATTGTGAATTTATATAAAAGTTTAGATGATGTTGATACAATTTTGTATAAATCTGGGTAGGCTTTACAAAATTTTTTGACTATAGGCGGATGAAGCTAGAATCGTATTCTTTTGCGGACAGAGATATACTAGTATATAGTGGGATGAAGTAGCTGGTGAGATGCTGACATTAACACAGAATACATAGCTTAATGCATGCATCAATACATTTAATAGTGATCGTTACACGCTGCAGAAGCATGCGCTTACTTATTTGCAAATAAGTAGAGTACGTACGTAGTGAGCAACACACGTGACACGTCTGCTCTTATTTATGTAGTACGTACGGCAGTCCATAGGGTAGCAGGACGCTACAGGCTACACGCTGATCGATCGAGTTCATGCATTCGCTCGTCCATCCGCAACCGCAACCGCATCGGATCGGATCAGTTTCAGTTGCTGTAGTAGCCGTGCGGCACCCTGTGCTCCTGCTGCTTGGTCTCGTAGTGGGCCTCCTTCTGCTCGCGGTGCTCGTGGTACGCGTAGCCGCCGGCGCCCAGCGCCGCCGCCGCCGCCACGCCGGCCTCGATCTTGTGCCTCTGCGCGTTCGCCGGGTCCTTCTTCGCACGGTGCCCCTCGTACTGCAATATATTCATGCATGCATGCGTTCCATCAGCTAGAATTCCAGCTATAGTACACTTGTACGAAATGCATGGTCACCTTTATGCTACGTTACCAGGGCAAAGGCGCCGCCGGCGAGGGCGCCCACCTCGCCGAGGCGCTCCTTGTGCTTGTGCTCCTTCTCCTCCCTCTTGAAGTGCTCCTGCTCGCCGCCGTAGCCGCCATAGCCGCCGCGGGAGTACTCGTCGTTGTACACGGCGGTCTGCCTGCCGCCGTAGCCGCAGTCGTCGTTGGCGTACGCGGCGGGCCTCCTGATGCGGTCGTCCTGCACGTTGTCGTAGTACTCGTCGGTGCGCGAGTAGGCCCTCATGCTGCCGCCGTGCCTGCCGGCGTCGTAGCACTCGTCGTCGGTGTTGGAGTACATGGCCCTGCCGCCGTGGTAGTAGTCGGCCATCGTCTCGGGTAGGCTAGTGTCGGATTTAATTTGCTGGCTGTAAGTGTGTTTGGTGCAGGTGTTTGCCTTGCTCGTTGGTTGCAGAAAATGCGTGTAGGAGCGCACCTATTTATAGAGCGATGATGAGGGACGCGCTGGCTGGTGATGGACGGTCAGGATCAGGATTGGTGGACAAGAAGAACTATTTCATGACAGATGAAGGCTAGCTTATCCCATTCCACCGAGCCTTTTTAATATATATATGATGATGATAATGAATTATTGCTTTTACTGTTGTTGGAAAAGAAAGAAAGAAAGAAAGAAAGCCTTAATAAGCGGTTTGGGTATATATTTGGGCAAGATTGTGACAATTAATAATGCATGCCAGAACCTGATGCTTTCAGCAAACTCCTCTTATTTTCCTTATATACGACAGCGAGTTCATCGATCAGCAGGATTTACAAAACGTACGTAAATGTAAATCCTGCACTAATGATATTGTGAAATTCAGTTTAGTTTGGTATATAAAAAAAAACCCATAAAACGTTACATAAGATATATTATCCAGATGAGATGACATAAGATTTCCATGTTCACACAGTGTTTTCAAAGAAAAAAAATGTTCACACAGTGTTTTCAAGAGAAAAAAAATGTATGTCACTAAACAATTTTGGTGTAGCTAAATTTATCACCGAGATACTAGATGGCATGCAAAGGCGTCGAGATTCCAATGCGCGTTGTTTTCTCTCTTTCTGAAAAGGGAATGCGATGATAATTTGCCAACTGGGAGCATTTTATTTCTCCAGCATTCATGTAAAGTTATTCTTCTTTCAGGGAATAGTCTTGCTGTCAACAAATGACGACATCATCAATTCCATTTCTACTTATTTCAGTGTCAGAGAATATGTACATCCCCTTTGCTTCTTTAAACAAACAAAAAGAAAAAGATCGAACCTAAAACCTCTCCGGCCGTGTGTGAAAATTGAAACGAAATGTGCACGTAACCCTTATCGTTATTATTGCAAATTCTCCATGATCGGGATGATAACCTCTCCAATCAGTCCACGGTACCTAGCCACTGAAAATCTACATATTTTTAAGGACAGTTGGCATAAAAGGTAGATTTCTAGGGTGGTTCCTAAGCTAATCCTCTAAAAACAGGTAGATTTTCAATGACGGCTTTTATTAAGCTACTACACAACTTAGATCCCTAACATACATATTGCATATGGGCAATCTAAGCATGTCAGATGTCACACATTCAGTGTTGATAAGGATTCAGATCAGCTAGTAAAGTAAGTGCAAACTGCAAATTAGAATTAACGGTAATTCTGGGTGTAGGCGTCCAGCGGACGTACGCTCCCGATGGTGGGTTGCCTGCGCTAGCCCAAAGACCGCCCTAGATGGCAATTCTTATCTGCTCATTCACTCGCACTCACCCCCAACCGATAAAAAAAAACTCATCTCACGAAGCGCCGCCGCGCACCCGTGCCGCCTCGCTGACCACGCTCCGCCGCGCCACCTCAGTGACCACACTCTCCACCTCGCCTCCCTCTCCACCACCCCTCTGCTCCGCCAGCCGGCATCTCCACCACGCCAGAGCGCAGCAGTCGGTCCTCCTCCCTCTCTACCCGCGCCTCTCGCACGCCACGGACTTCTAGAGCGCACGGACCCGCCGCGGCCTTCTCCACTGGACTTGTCGCGTCCTTCTCCACCGGGGCGGCGAGCTCCACGCCACCGGCAAGCTCTACACCGGTGAACTCCACGTGCCGACGAGCCCTCATTCCCAAACAACAAGGAGATATTACGCTGAAAGCTCATGTTGCAAACGTATGTTTCAAGTGTTTCAGATATTTCAGAGGTATGTTGCAAGTGTTTTATATTGGTGTTGCAAAAATAGAGAGATGTTGCACATGTTGCAATGGCTATACACATGTTTCAAGTGTATGTCCCGACTATTTCATCTGTTTCAGACATATGTTGTAAGTGTTTCATCTAAATGTTGCTAAAGTATAGATCTGGATGTTGCATATATATACATGGTTGCAAGCATATGTTTTTAAGTGTTTTCAGTTGCTTCAAACATATGTTTCAAGTATTTCATCTGGATGTTGCATATATTTTGCAATGGCTACACACGTGTTTTTCTAGTGTTTCAGACGTATGTTGCCAGTGTTTCAGTTGTTTCGGACGTATATTGCATGTGTTTCATCTGAATGTTGTAAAAGTAGATCTGGTGTTGCACATGTTGCAATAGGACTCACCTGCTGTCGTGCATCGTGTGGGAAGCGGAGGGGGATGGCGGGCGCGAGCTGTTCCTTCTGTTACGGGTGGAACCAGATAATTTTACAGTCTGGGTGGGAGCTGCGTCCGGACGCCTCTTGGGGCCGGACGTCTGGGCGCTAGCGTCTCCCTAGAATTAATACTTAGCAAAGTTCAAAGAAGCAATTTCAATACATTTTTTTTCAACAGTTTCTTTTCTCACTAGTCCTCTCATCAAGTATTTACATAGTCTAGTGATTTGAAATGGGGTATGCTCAAGGACGTATATGTGGGGGGATCGGAGTCCAGACAAGTAGAGAGTACACTCGATCTTTCATCCACAAATTCCTGGTCATAGCACGAAAGTACTGAACACAAAAAATTCCGATTACCAAATACAAAAGTTCTCGATCACAGAATACTTAATCGCTAAAAATCTTACCGTAGAAACTCCCAATTACCAAATGATTATGAGACATCCTGATCAGTCTAGCTCTGACCACAAAAACTCCCAAGGACAAAACTCCTGGTGACAAAACTTCTGAGGACCAAAGAACCTGAGGAGAAGGGAACCCCATTGGCTAAAAGAAAAGGTGATGAGACACTGATATTGCATATCCTTCTTGGAGCAAATTATTTCTTTGTATATATAATCCTACCCCTGCGCAACCCACAACCAAAACTATATAAAGAGGGGCAGATATGGTAGACATAGGAGATGGATCTAGATATATAGCCAAGACAACTCGATGCAAGAAGTCATACCATCTACTTTTTTTCCCGTGTATATATATATATATATATATATATATATATATATATATATATATATATATATATATATATATATATACAGACTAGCTAGACCTTTTCATTGTAGTCCAAAGCCATATATACAAGATCCAAATAGGACTTAGGGTATTAGTGTATTACTCCACATAGAGGGCCTGGACATGTATTAATGGTGTGTTCGTTCAATCCATATTCAGATCAACTGCATGGTGTTCTGGGACATAGGGTATCTTAAACTCTTATAAAGTAAAACCCCACTAACCTATTTTTCTCATTCCACAGTCCTCCACATCATCGTTCCCACCTGGCCCACGTATCTACCTCCACCTAGGATCCTTTCCCATTCCACTTCTGAATGCACGACTACCTTGGTTAAATAATTTTCATTCTAATCACCTTCATAAATAGCCTCTCCATTTCTCCATCCACTCACACGCATGGCCATCATACGTTTTAGTGTTTTACGTTTGATCCTTTCTCATTCCACTACTACATGCATGCATCATGCAATTCCATCCTAATTACGTTGATAAATAGCCTCTCCATTTCCTCCTCTCACGCTGGCCATTGTGCCTCATTTGGTTTTCTCGCTCTCCCTCTATATATAGTGCTCCACACACCAAGAAGGAATGGAGACAAACCACGTACAGGTAAGTGCTCAGAGCTTATGCTTGTTCTTTCAAATTGGTTTCTGAATTCTAAAGGTGTGAGATCGATCAATCTACTCTTTTGCTTGATGACTAATTTATCCATTATTGTTTCCCAGGACCAAAGTTAGCATATGGAGAAGTACCATGCCCTCACATGTTGCGGCACATCAAGAAGACTATGGTGTTCCTTTTAATTACATCATTTTACATATGAATCCTGTTTGAACATTATTTCAGGATTATAGCTTAAGCCACATTTTGTCCTTTCGAGAAATTAATAGCCATTGATCTTCATGTATACTACTTTTTTGGATGGTACAACAATACCATATTTTTATTTCACTTTTGTGCATGTTTGTGCTTTTTGCATGATCAATTTATTTGTCATTCACAAGATATCACTTTTAAAAAGTCCCGCGGCAACGCGCGGGGTATTCACCTAGTTACTCCAATAGCGTTGACAAGGTTTGTCCTACGTGTCACTTCATTAACTTTCACTCATAATATCAACAAAAATAATTATCTAAATGAACAATTATATTTTTGAGAGTACTGTGATGAATTTAATATTGTCAGTCCGCCACTACTATAGAACTACCGTCATACATGGTCATATTCAATTTTTAGTTGGTGGTTCTCGTAACCGGCTCTACGCTACCGATTCTAGCTTAGAAAGAAGTTATCTTCTGGGGGGTGGGGGCTGACCGTGTCTAGAAATAGATTTCACTTATGGTTGACGCAAATAAATCATCCCTAGAAATTGATTCCAAAAAATTTAAAAGCCCCACAGATCTTGCCCCATGGTCAAGCCACGTGCGCTTGGCAGTGGCTAAGCTTGGCTGTGGTTGTGCCATGGCCCCCGTCGTAGGTGCCGCCTCCTCCGATTAGAGATGCAAACGATCGAGTTTGTCTATGAATATAATCCGCATATATAGGTTTAGGACCCCTTTCGAACGCAGACTTTTCATAGGAATTTTATAAGAATTTCATAAGATTCAGTTCATTTTTCGCAGGGAAAACACAGGAATGGGAAAAAATCCCACGTTCCAAAGGGGACCTTAGTTGTTAGCCTGTTGTGTGTTACCCACAAAATTAAGCCTATCTGCAATTTCGCGGGCAAGCCTATTTTCATCGCTACCTCTGACAGCTTGCCGCTTGGAAGAGATAATTGAGGCATTGGCTAAGGCACAACCAGAATATGAAACTTCTCTCAGTGATGTGGGGTTCTTCCAGTGTTTAGAATTCAATATTTAGTATAAGCTTTTTCCTACCAAATGCCTTCTAGTGAGGTTCTCATGTGCTATGATTGGTAGTAGT